AGGCAGGGAGCAGCATGGTCAGTCCATGCTGGGAGCTATCCCATCCTTACCAATCACCCACTTGCTTTGTCCAGATTTACACCTTCACTTTGCCTACCCAAGCTGTGGCAGCACCCCTTGGTTTCCATGTGATAGTCTTTGTCTCAAGTTACATCTTACTTACATGGATTTGAAAATAGAGCATCTTACTACAGATTGTAGGAGATTTTTACAACTTTCAGTACTATTCCAGGTTGCAGATCCTGTGGAGTTATCACATCTAAGAGCATTAATTAAATAATGGCAGAGCTTGTGTGTTACCAGCTTAAGGCTTCTGCTTCTGAAAGCACCAAATCATACTACTATTTTCATACGCTTCTTGCATTGTTTTAACAGTAAGAATTTGCCCATTCTTGTTTAATGAGAAGGCTGTTCCAAGCACCTTGTTCTAAGAGTTTGGATATGTCTTCTAATTTCTGGTCCAAATGCACTCATGCACAGTTTCTGGGTTTTTTTCTACTGCTAACTATGTCCTGTAGCTCTTTCCACGTTGCAGTATTTATAGACATGAGCTGAAATCCCTTTGAGCCTTTGTTTGGCTAGACTGATCCCACCACCTGTTCTCATCTCTCTCACAGGACAACCTCTTCAGCTGCCCAATTATCCCAGGCATTTTCTGTCCCTCTTCCAATTCAAAACAATTTTTCCTGGCTGTTAGTTACTGAAATTGTACACACCCTTCCAGATGCTGTTTCACTTGGGTCTGCACCTGTGAAAATAGTGTTTGGAGCTACCTTTCCCCTTACATCCAGGCATTGCAAGTACTCCCTTCATGGCTAACTCATGGTGGTCATTCGTGTCACTCTCTAAACAGCCTGCAGGCAAATCCTCTCTGTTTTGGGTTTGGAGCTGCTCTGCCTTAATCATTACTTCCACTGAACTTACAGGCTTCTAAGAAAGATGTACGAGTGGGGGGTGTGGAAGTCTGCAATACTCACAGCTTCTGCTGTGTTTTCTGAGAGTTGTAACTGTGTTGTGCTACCATGTGGGCAAGGGCTACAATTTCCCACTCCTCTCTGCCTCACAACCTCTCAGGACATCTATTCTCCCATGCAAGGATTGTCCCACACCAGCTCTTCTGGCTCCCCACTTTTGTGCAGCACAGACTTGGCCTCCACAAATGGCTGTGGCTTCATCTGGAAGGAGCACCATGGCCACCTGCCCTGTTTGGGAAGGATTCATCTCTGCAGGGCAGTCAGACCAGCACCTTTGCCCTCAGCCAAGCCCTGGCAAGGTGGGTCACCATCCAGAACACCAACAGGGGACTCAGAAGGAGGCAGCAAAACTTCCAGAAGATGTGAAAATAAAATTTCTTGCTCTTTTATAAGCTCCCTTTTTTTCTATCATTTCAGACACTTCCCTAGAGGAGAGGTAGTGAGGCCTGAACTTAAGGGCCACATAGTGGATTTACAGGTAGCAGCCAGGCTCTGGTATTTCTGGTTCTTTCAAAGGTCTGGTCTTTTATAGAATCACAGAATTATTAAGGTTGGAGAAAACTTCTCAGATCATTGAGTCTAACCCTTAACCCAGCACTGCCAGATTCACTTCTAAACCACGTCTACAAACCTGTTGTGTCTGCACAACACCTACAAATTTTCTGAACACTTCCAGGGACACTTTCACCACTTCCCTGGGCAGCCTATTCTATTACTTGATCACCATTTTACTGAATAAATTTTTCTTAATAACCAGTCTAAACCTCCCCTGGTGAAATTTGAGGGCATTTCCTCTTGTTCTATCACTTTTTATCTGGGAGAGGAGACTGACCCCCACCTGGCTACAGCCTTCTGTCAAGTAGTTATAGAGATCAACAAGGTCTCTCTCTTTTCCAGTCTGAACACACCCAGCTCCCTCAGACATATGACTCACTCTAGACTTTTCACCAGCTCTGTTGTCCTTCTCTGGACATGCTTCAGCCCCTCAATGTCCTTCCTGCAGTGAGGTGTGCAGCATCACAGTGCTGAGTTGTCCCATGTTACATATGGACACGTGGATGATAGATTTTGATATGTTTGTTTCTCTAGCTGGTCTTTCTGAGAAAATGGATGGCCACCATCCAAACGGCAGGAGCCTTATGAGTCCAAATGAGGAGCATGCCTGCATCCTGGGGCTCCCGTGTCCAACTCTGATGGGAACATAGCACAGGATGTGCAGGAGCTGAGTCCAGGACACCTTTCCTGCATGTCAAACAAGAGGCAGTCAGGCCTCCAGCAGGGATCAATTGTCTCCCTGTGATCAAAAAGAAGTGAACTGAACTTACAGGCGGGACCTGGGCCCTAGGGGAAATGGCCCAGGGGTGTCTGTTCCCAAGGCAGAAACATGTCACCTCTTGGCTCCTGTTAAACCATATTACTGTCCAGGAAGGCATCACGGTAGCTCCCAGAGGGGTTGGGATGCTTGTCATACAGTGCTTACTTGCCTGTTTGAATGGAAAAGAGATTGCTTCTTGGACACTCTGTGAGGGAGCTCAGCACCACTGGGAGCAGAGGCGACACCCCGGAGGGAACGGGACTGGCTTTCCTTTCAGTGGGGCAGCAAAACCTTAACAAGGTGTTTGGGGGTGCCTTTTGGCTCTGCAAATAGGAGTCATGCCTTGAAATTTCTCCAAGGGAAACTGCTGTGAAATGTATGTAGGCAGAAGGTAATTGCCCAGATTAGACTTTGGCTAAGGCACAGGACTTGACACTTGGAGAGGGAGTGTGCCACAGGAGCTTCGATAACTGCACGTGGCTGCTGCTTCTGTCACTGCTCAACACCTCAGAGCAGAGCTCACACCTGAGAGGGCTGATGGCCGCTTGACAGCCACCACAGGCAGTAGCTCTGGACAAGGTTCATAGGAGCTGTGCCCATCATCCTCTCCTTCTGCAAAAGGGAAATTCCAACAGCTCTCACCAATCTGAAAAACCAGTTCTACCCTCTTCCTTTTTCTAGGCTTTTTCTTCTTCCACATTTTTCTCTTCTCTCGTCTGCCAATTTTTAATATTCATTTTCTTCTTTATCATCTCCTTTTTCTATACAATTTTTCACCTTTCATACAGTTTCCTCACTTGTCACTCAACTTCTTTCTTCAAAAGTATGTTATTGTTTTTTAAAAACACTTACTTGTCGTGTCCAAATCCTTGCCATCGTGCTTTCCCTGAGTTCCCTCATTGCCTTTTATTTTCCCTTGCAGCTGCTTAGCTGCTTTTACCATTTGATTAAGCATGCAGGATGTTTCTTATCCTTCTCAAGTTTCTGCATACAAGGTCTGGAGCCACAGGTCTACTCCTGAATGTGGTCTGCAATCCAGTATTGCTTCTATCCTCAGAAGATCCCAAGCTCCAGCTTCCATTTGGTCATGGGAAATTGACCATAGGTAAATTTTTATGCTGTAGGAGCCTATGCAATTATAAAGGTAGCTAAAGGCCAATCATACGTACCATATTTCCTGCAAAACTGGATCTAGAAATACTCAAGAGTTTTTGTGATCCTGATCAAGAAGAAAATTATTGGGAAGTGTTTCAGTTAGATATAAATTGCTTTTGTATGTTTTGGTTAATAAATACAAAAGAGAAAGGCATCTTCACTGTTCTCTTGCCATGGCAGTAACATTTCTGACATTTCATTAGAAGACCTCTCTCCATTAGGCTTAATTTCCCTCCAGTAATTTGTTCCTATTTCTGGGAAAATCTGTCTCATTAATATTTGTAGGTACAAGCTTACCCTTATTTTTTCAGTACCACTACTTGGTACGTCTAAGTAAGTCTCTTTGATGTGGCTTTATACAAAAGAAATACTAATTCTGTTATTTATAGTTGCAAGGAGCAAGCTAATTAGTACTTAGAAGTGCTTCTGAACATATCTCTCTTCTTGCCTTTCAATATTTTGGCCACTACTCAGTTTTCTTCATGTTATCACTGCCTTCACACTAGCTGAAGCACCCAGAACCATAACTAATTTGACAGAGGGAGATGTCTAGTGCTACATGAAGAAGGGCTATTCATGCCACTGCCTGTGATGTGATACCTTCAGTCGTTCATCTCCAAGTGATCTTGGCTCTGCTTCCACTGTATCATATTGACAGTTCACACTCTGCTTGTTGTTCAACTGATACCATAGGAAAGCCTTTTTCCACCTGGATGGTAGACTGCTTTTCAAGTTTCTATCTGTCTGACTGGATGACTGCACTGGGGTTAGTTCTGATTACAGACAGCACTTGTACTGAATGGATCTCACTTGAATAACTCTGCTGCATCCTTAAAACATTGACATTAACTATCAGTCTATAAGCCAATTACAGCTCTATTCATCTCCCAGTTCTTTAGGCTAAGGTTCAGGACTTGGTGTGCAACATTAGTGACCTGACACAGCCCATAGCTTAGTTTTAGTGGTATACAGCCTTATAAACCATTTTTTCCAATGCAAATATGAAACTGCACTAACATATGGGCTCAGGTACTATCCTCCACAGAGGCTCAGGTGCAGCTGAGAAAGATCTCAGGTTCTTTTCCAGAAGACTTCCCAAATGCTCATGAACTTGATGCAACCATCTGATGGGTTTTCAAGCACAGAAATCCAGGACTATGTGTCTGCTTGAAAGGTTCAAACCACATTTATTTTAAATTCATAGGGAAAAAAAAAAGAAATCACAGGCTGGTAAATTATTACATCTCAGTGTAAAGAACTTGTCCAGTGATGTGCAACCAGATATTGACAAGAATATCTAAATAAGCAACAACGTCTCAATATAAATCTCATTAAATAAAAAAGAAAATTATTTCCATATTTACAGATTACAATGCAAATGGATCCTTAAAGCATTATTTTGTATTTAGCGGGTTTATTTGTTTGAAATAAAAGAGAAATGGCTTGAATCTAAGAGTATACTTTGGAAGCAGCTTTCTAGACAGTCTGTTACCACCAGTGAAAGGAGAAGCAGCCTCCCCTCCATCACTGCTCTGCTTCTTCTGTCATCCAGGCTTTCACCGAAGGGCTTCTGGTACCTCCACCTATGAAACAGGGGTGGGAAGAGCATTCATTACACTTGCTGTACAGTCTAGATGGCAAAATACCTGAAATTCCTGCCAGACATACACTGCCAAGAACTCTGGGCTACACATCATCTCCCATAACAAGACTGAGCCTGGGAAAGAACTCCAATTTCTGTCGAAATCACAATCAGACAGATATTACTGTGCTGAAAAAGCCTAATCAGAGGGAAGCCTCCTCCCAGGTGCTTTATTATGTTCACATTTCTAAGATTTTTTTTTTTTTAACTCAATGCGTGTACTAAAATTAACTGAGCTTGTGCTATATTTGGAGCACAATCAGTTACTGAACTAGGATCTCTTACTTACCCGCCTTAATTGCTTTATGCTGCTTGCCCGAATTGCTTCCATAAGATTGTCATGGAGAGACCTTTGTGGGGTGGATGGCCGCGTGGAGGGCCGTGAACCTTCCTCTGATTTTCTGTCTGAGACTGATTTCAAAGAATCTTTAATTTCTTTCAATATGCTGTTCTCATGTTTTCTGCTTTTTTTGCCTTTTTTCTTTTTCTGTCCATTATGTAAGGCTTTTTTTGAGCTTTCTTGCTGTTTGATGACTTCAGCTATATTCCTGGTAGGGACCTTCTTCTCTGGAATAACCGGAGGAGGGGGAGGAGGAGGGGGAGGTGGTGGCGAAGGGGGAAGGGGAGGTGGGGGTGCAGGTGCTGAAGGCTGACATTTCACTGGCAGTGCTTTCTTAGGGAGCTTTGGGGAAGACCACGGTGAGCTTTTAGGCGACACATAAGGCGAGGACCGAGGTGTTCCCTTCTGCAAAACTTTGGTCTTTGGATTGATAGCTCCGTCACAACCTGACTCTTGTTGCCGCTGCTCCTGCATGCGCTTTTGCCTTTGTTTATCCATGTTTCTTGTCAGGATACTTGTCATGCTCATTCTTGGGCCAGCAAGGTCAAAGTGGTACCCCAGCTTTACCAGAGTGGTGTTCTCTTTCAACAGTTTGACTATGTCCATTTCCACCTGGCTGCCCATGATGTGCCTTTGATTGTGGAACCGCAGTTCTGTTAGAACCTTGTTATGCTGCAAAGCTCTCATGATGGCCAGCACACCTTTGCCTGTGATAAAATTTGATTCAATATTCAGACTAGTTATATGCTGATTAACTTTTAACATACCAGCAATAGCTATTGCCACATTGTCATCAGCATGGGTGTTAGCCAAGCTGAATGACTTAACCACTGTGTTGTCCCTCAGGGCTTGAGAAAATTGTATAAGCATCTGTGATGTGATGTTCTCAATGTTGTTCAGATTGACCTCTGTGGTGTCAGGGTCGTTGCTCCTAACTTTTTCCAAAGCATCTTCAATAACGGTTGGGTTTCCACAGGGGTGGATGGCACTGCTTTTGAAGCTCCGATTATCACTGTCTTTTCCATCATGGCCATTGAGGAAATTTTCATTGTCCTTTGCACCATTACACTTTTTGTGTCTGATATGGTCAGAACACCTGCCAGCTGCAGCATTTTGCTCTTCCTCATTTTCATCATCACTCTCACCTTCATCTTCCTCCTCATCTTCTTCATCATCTTCTTCCGTATATGCCTCCTCAGACACTTCACTATTGCTTTCTGTGAAACATTCTTCTTGAAGTTCTGAATTGTCTTCTTCTTGCTCAGAATCCTGAACAGGAACGTAGGTGTGGATGTTAAACATGATTGAAGTAATGTAACTACTGCCTTTTAGCACAGGAACAATTATACTGACACTAAGTTAACATTGAAAGCTAAAAACAAACAGATACAGTTAGGAGAACAGAAAATGTTTAATCTAACACCTTTTAAACATTATTCCTTTTACATTCTTTAGCAAATGCTTAGCATAAGTTGCAACTACTTTGCCAATGTCAGTGATTTCTGCCAAGAGAAAACTTGATACAAGGTATTATAACACAGACATACTTCAGTTTTTCTATGTACTGGCATGTCTACAAGGGGATATAATTTGTATCCCTGACAGCAGAAACATAAAACAACAATTTCAGAATGAACATGAGCAACAAGCTTCTTCATTTCATGAGGATTAGACATCTCAGACTCCCTTGCATATGTTAGTATGTCTAAAAAATTAAAGGTTGCGATGCTTTAAGATACAAATAGTGCCTGCATGTGTAGTCTTGTATACCAGCATGCAAAACAATACTGAATTAGAGAAGTCATGTCAAAAATACTTTGGATGTACTGCATGGGCTATACATACTAATAAACTATTTGTGAAGAAAGGATTGAGATGCATTCCCACAGGTGACATGTAACCACATGTCAACAACCCATGAATTCCTTCGTGTTTATCAAGAGCTAAGCCAGTGCTTACTGCCAGCTGCCATACTGTAAATTGTTATAACTCATTGTCTACAGAGAAAATGCATTGTCTTTATGAAATACAAGGTTATTTTAGTGTGTTTGGTGGGTACCAGGAAGGCAAATTTGGAACCATATACCAAAGCTGCCTTTATCAGTCATGGTAGCAAAAGAGAACTCTCTGCAGAGGAGCAGGAACAGGTCTTCACCCTAGGAAAGCCTCACTCTGCACATAGGGGAATCCAGGGCATCTATGGGGCATGACAGAACCTACAACCAACCTTAAACCTCTTGCTCAAAAAGATCTTCCGTGTCATGTTTTGTCTGCTGGAAAAACTATAAGTATGCATTTTTCTTTACAATTGTAAATGTTCATAAAATTTTGGTTGAATTATAATTGTTCTGTATGCACTACTTTAGCAATATTTGTGTTTTAATCTCTGTAAAATACTAGAGTGTATTTTCCAAAGTGAGTACACTCTGCAGAGACACAGCGATTCTGTTTCTGGAAAACTAAAGTGTTACTAACAGTTCAGCCTATTTTTAGACAACTGGTGCAGTTTTAGGTTTGCTTAATTATCTGGCTCTGAAAATAGAGAACTGTTAAAATGCATGGTACTGTTTCACAATTTTCAGTAGAATTCTGTGCTGGGACATATGCAAGAAAGATGCTAATTGTAATGTTTGCAGAACTGTGACTCTTAAAAAACAGGACATTAAGCTGTTTCTGCCTGATGTTCCTGATCATTCAGTACCTTTGGGTCTTGCAGGGTCTGACTGCACTGGCCTGCACACAGAGATGTTGTAGGACCCAGCCCTATTGCTTCTCCTGTAGAACACGTGCAGCAGGCCCTTATGCTGAGAGATACTGTGCTACCTAGAGGCTTATTATGGGATTAAGATTTATATCTGTATTTTCTATATATGTGTAGGGCTTTAAGACTGGAAAACAGCAGTCTTATAAAATATAATAAAAAATATATACTACAGATAAAAAATATATACTTATAAAATATATAAAATAATATATTATATATTATATATAATACTTATAAAAATATATACTACAGATGAGCAGAAGGAGGTGCCCTTAAATGCATTATTGATTTGTTCCGTGATGCTAGATTAATAAAAACATACTTTTTTTTTTTTTGTGGCATTTCTGAGGTCAAAGGCAGAATTTAGTTGCCTGTCACATACATTGTCTGGTATTATAATAATCTGCATGATAATTCTGAAATTGAATACAGAGATGTATTCTTACTATGGCAGCACTGTGGTATAGGACTGCTGCAGGCACCTTGTAGGGTTTCACCTTAATTTGTGGGAGTAATTTGACGAAAAGTTAGGACTAAGAGAGTCAATGCAGAGGTAAATATCTCTGGAGAACAAGTTATTCACCCTAAAAGGCTATCTGCAAATTGTTTGCCTTTTGGACCAGCTGATCTGTCATCACTTACTATAGAAGGAGCATGAATAACCATCTTAGATAAAGGTGCATAATTTCCAGACAGTTGAAAACAATAAGAAAATTGTTTTCCAAGGAGTTTTCTTATTACCATCAGTGGAGAGTCTTTGTGACCTCTATATCAGCATATCAAACTTTTCTTATTTAAGGATGCACTTAGGAAGTTTTTTCTCACATCAAAAAGTATTGAGTCTTTTGCCAGGACTTGGAGGTTTAGCCAGTATCCATCATTAATGCTATATATACATGGAAAAAGAAAAAAAAAGATCCTGCCATTGTATAAGATATTCAACTAGACCTGCTCAGCAAGTTTTTTAGAACTGTCCAGGTTTCAGGTTCCAGGCTAAGCTGGAAATAAAGATTAATCTTGCCATTTACTCTCTAGGGCTGACAAACAGGGAGCAAAGTTGATGTCTGCAAGCTGATACTAATGGTCTGATGACAGCTACTGGTCTCTGTCTTGCCTGCAAAAACCTTATAACACCATTCACAAACCAGAGAAAATACATGCAAAAACATCCCAGATATTGCAGGGTAATTTAATCCATCTGACTTTCCTCTAGGAGGATATTTTATCTAATGTATAAACTACAATTATTTCCTTGCAAATGAAATAAGCTCCTGAATCAAGGCTGTTAGAGGTTCTGAGTTCAGTTTTGCTGCCTTTGCCTTTGTTGTATTATTCTCTGCTTACACATGGGAAAATGTGTCCCTATAAACAGAGTAAGAGCTTGGTATGAAGCAGTGCTTAAAAATTCCCAAGTTCTCACTTTGCTTTGAAATTACCTGGAGCCCTCATGAAAACAGAAATTGGTTTTTGGTTGGGCTCAGTCTCACGGACACTTTTAGCAAGTATAAAAGTCCCATTAAAAGTCTCATATACTTTTAGCAAGTATCAGGAGTGCCAACGGGGACATCGGCTGAGACTGAGAGTGCTCACTGCTTGCCAAGACTGAGCCCTTCATTCCTGCTCAGCTGTACTGTTCATTTGCAGTTCAGGAAATGTCTTTTATTACTAACATTTTTATTTTGCGGGATGAGTTGCCTAAAAAACACTATAGGTTGTATTTTTGGGGGCAAATGCAGTTAAATGATTTGACTGATGACTCTATTCCAGGCCATTTCTTAAATAATGTGCAGCTGCCCTCTGACAACAGTTACCAGAAGACTCTTGAACCATGCCAAGGATCCTCAGCAGAAACAAAGCAACACAAGCTGCTGACTGCAACACAAGCTGCTTTCTTCCAGTGAGCACAAAGCCTGGCATCCACTTACTCAACTTCTGACACAACATGTATTCAAAACTACCTTTCTTACATGCTTCTCAGCAGTTAATACTGGCTGTTTTTAAGGAAAGGAAAAGGCATTTTGTGTAGCTTTCTCAAAAAAATCAAATGCTATCCAAAAGCCCACAGCTCTACCTATTAATTTCTAACACGCCATTTAATTTTTTTCCTATTTTAATTACTAATGATAGTTTTTATGGCACTTTCTTCCATTCTGAACTGAGCACTTAAGGTACCTCCACAGAGAGCAAAACCTCTCTGAGGTTCTCTGAGCTAATACTCAGTTCTGTGACAGGCACAGAGGTATGGCTAACAACGTACTTAAAATTGCTACAAGAGACTGAAAAGAAATTAAATCAGTCAGTGAGATCATGCCAATGAAGAATAAAACTAAATATCTCTAGGAAACAGCAAATGCCTCAGCATCTTACCTTCTCACATGCACCCAACCTCTCTTCTTCCAGAAGTTTCTTGGTCTCCCTCTCCCAGTAGGCCATCAGCGCTTCCCTGCTGAAAGTCCCTGTTGGTGTTTTCTCTGTCAGGCTCTTCTGCCGTTGTCCCACTGGAAGGTTACGGTCGGGCTCTATGTCCTCTAGCTCCCGCTCCAGCTCCTTCAGCTCCTCTTCAGTGAGAGAAGCAAGGAGCTCATCTTCATCAATGTCTTCATATTTACTGAGCTCTCTTCTATACCCAAAGGTAGACATGGTCCTGCTTTGGTCAGGCTGGTACAAAGCTGAAGTGACCAGGCATTCAAGAAAGCTGAAGCAAACAAGCTGTGTCTCGGTGTGGTCAGCAACTGTTTCTCTGCATAGCCAGAGGCACCCTTTTAAGAGTAATCATCGGGGGCTTACGACAATGCATGAAGGGATGAAAGCATGCTCCATTTTAAGCATCAGACGTCAGCTAGACATCTGAACAGCAAGAATGTCCCAACACTAATGTTTGCAAGTCCCTTAAAGAGGGGGATTATTGACACACTGGCCATGGCCATATTTAGAGCAGGCAGCTAGTGGGAGAATACCAGCCTCACAGACGGGGGGGCGGCACCAAATAAAACCCCAGGCGCACTTACACTGGCATCGTGTCCAAACTGCAGTAGGGAAAGAACAATGAAGTCCATTTAATCCGGAGCTGTCACAGGGGCTGGAAATAAAACACCAAACACCCCTGCCGTTGTTCAGTGGACTTCCTCTCACTTTCACGGTTTTCTAGTGCAATGCTGTTATCCCACCAAGGTGTTTGCAGGCGGTTGGGATCGATGGAAAGGCAGCCAAGGGGAGGAGGTGCCAGCAGCTGTGGGGAGCACTGCTCTCTGTGTGTCACATGTTGCCTGTAACAAATCACACAATTTTTTATTAATTCTCTTATTTTTTTCTAGGACTATCAGAGTGAGAATCATCTGGACACGTCCATTTGGAACATCTGTGAGATTTTTTTTCACATGGAGAATTGTGCTTTGCTGGGGGGAAAGGACAGAGTCACCCAGAGATTTAAGGGTAACAAGCAGCGGGTTTGTGGCTTCATCACTTCTGACAGGCCATGCAACTGAAGGCCTCTAGTGGCTATTCTTTAAATGACTAGTGCTTGATGTCACTGACTGATGTGCAGCTGGAGAGCGCCTTCAATTCTTTATTCCAAATGTACAGCTGCATTATAGTTTCTGTCAATAGATGATGTATTATTCTGATATTATTTTCATTTACAGGCATCTTTCAGTAAGAAGAATTACAAAAAGAAAGATTAAACTTTGTACTGTTTATTGTTTGCTTTTCTGATGTAGTTGTTTTTTAGTTTTCTTCTCTTTTCTATTTAGCAGTGAGTGATGGTAAACTAGCAATATTTTCTGAAACATGCAGGCCAGCAATACCTGCCAACCTGTGTTGTGAGAGAGGGGGAGGGAGAGGAAGAGAAGAGGTTTTGGTACATGGAAGTAGGAACATATCTATAACAACATACATCAACCTTCTTATATGATAACACACAGTGTGTTTTAGATAGTCAAGTCAATATTTAATGGAAATGTAAGTGAACATAATTTGAAGTATGGTTCTTGTCATCATCTCTTTTTGGTCAGTATGGATTGGCCACCTGAATTGACGTATGTTGTTTAGCCAAATTGCTGATTTAGTTTCATTATTATGCATACAGCTTTACTGACAGGGGAGAGAGGAGATTGAGCATGATTTTCATAAAGATTTGATAAAGAAATTATATTTTTCCTTTGATCATTTGTCTATATGAACTTCATGCAGTTATCTGTATCAAGAAATGGTATGAAAGCTTATAACTAAGCTTAGTCTTTCCTAACCTACAAAATACATTAATAAAACAGACATAAGAATATTGTACACCTGAATATAAAATAAATATTTGTAAGTCATTTATATTGACAGAATCTTTGGATAAAATAAAAAGGAAGCAGATGCTTGGCTTATGGAGCTGTGAATGTTACCTTCACCCTTATACCTTCATTGTATAAGGTCCCATAATAGGTCAAGTGCACACAGACAAGTCAGTGGGTCCATAGGAGTTCTGTTCACTCTTTCAGCTGCACCTGCAGAATGAGGCCTGAGCCAAATTCTGAAAAATGTAAAAGAGTAGGAAAAAATAAAAAGTACCTTTTTTCTTTTAATTTGGCATCATTAATTTTTTTTGGTAGAGCTGACATAGGCATTAATTATCTGTATATAGCTGCACTCCAAGCAGTTTTATTTCTTCAGTATGTTTAGGACCATGGTTAACATTGTTATCATTGGAGTTAGCCAGAGAAGCAGCACAATAAAGTTCTCTTTCTTGAATCTATTTTTGCTGACCACATATTTTGTTGCAAACATTTTTTGATGGAGTTAGGAAATGTAAACTGGACAGCTTTTCTGTTGGAAAACGCTGATTGAAACTGAAATGCTTTTAGAAATATGCTATATTTTATTAGTACAATGTTGATATGTACAACACTGATACGTACAATATTAAAAGGAAAAATACGCTGTTAAAAATTAAATCTATTCACATACACTGATTCCCAGAAAAAGCTCAGCTTTCTGCTTTTCCTTTTTTTGTCAGGTACAACAAAATTTTTAAGCCTTTCAATTTTTCTGAGCTGTATAGGAAATACAAACATACAGATACCTGAATTGTCTATTCAAAGTTTTCTATGTATAAACCAAATTTTCCAAACTCAAAGAAATTTCAAAAAGCAGCATGTATTATTCACTTCTAAAATAATATTCCAAAGGAAGTTTAGATAACATTAATATTACCTTCAATGCTACTCCTTGCTGAGACACGATACAACACTGGGACAGAGGTGATATTTCTCTACACAAAATGCCAACAGTGTCCATTCTAGCCATGAGATAAGATAATTTAAAGATGTTACTAAAGATGGACAAATTACTTTCTTGTACATTTCTCCCCTGAAGAAGGGGGAAAATTGGCAGTCAGGTGAGGATATGAGAGGCTCATGTCCCTTCTTGATCTTATATGACACTCGTGGTATTTTAGGATTGATTCTTGATATGGAAAGGGCCAAAGATGAAGAGCCAAGAACACTTTCTAGGACAATTTTAATAAAAATAATAAGGCTGTAGCACATGGCAAATTACACACACAGAATTTAAAAAAGATGCTAAAACTGCAAAGACAAGCACTCACAGGTCAGAAAATGTGGGAATAATATTTGTCGTTGCCTGCTGACAAGCACTGAAACATAGTCCTTAATTCCATAGTTCTGTAATCATATACTTTGATCCTAGACACATGAGTACTCAGAATCTTTACTCTTCTTCATTGCATGGAAAATCTCACACATATTTAATAGCCTTTCAGCATTTTATTTTGCCCCTGTTCTTCAGCATAGTAAAGCTATCAATGATTTTAATTGTACAGTGGCCTTTTTAGAGAACATGAAGGTGCTCCCACTTTTTTAAGGAAGGAGAGGTACAGAAACCTTAAGACTGAAAGTACCATCTAATTTGGAATTTTGGATTCACTTTCTGGCAGTATTTGGCATTATAGAAGGACTTCAGTTGATCAGGGTTCAATTCCTGTGGGCATCAGCCATGGCTGAAGCTTTCGACCCTTACAACATTTCAGACCACAGGTTCTAACTTCCAAGAGGAACTCAGAGAAAAGAGAAGAGTAATTGTGTTTTCCTGTTATTAACATTCTTTCCTGAAACATTTTGTTCCTCTTCCATAGTCTCTTTTCTCAGGCACTATACATGTTCTGATTTCTGAAAAAAATCAAGCAAAAACCCAGCAGTCTGGGCGAACTGTTCTCTCTCCCCAGCTGTGTTCTCAATTACACCATTATAAACAGTTTAGGAAGAGCTCATTGTGTGCTAGTGAAGTGGCAAAGTGAGCTTTCTTCCATCACAGGAGGCAGAGAGCAGAGCACGAACCATATGTAGTACTGGAGGGCAGATTTATAGTACCTACATTGACTGCTGTTTAGGATGAATTCTCCAACTGGACATTAGAAAAAAATTCTTCATGCAAGGGGTTGTCAAGTATTGGAACAGGCTGTCCAGAGAACTAGCTGAGTTACCATCCCCACATGTATTGAAAAGGTGTGTAGATGTGGCACTCAGGAACATAGTTTAGTCATGGTCTTAGCAGTGTTAGGTTAACATTTGAACTTCATGACCTAAAAGATCTTTGTGATGATTTGATGAAGTGCTTTGCCAACTCGTAACAGAAAACCCAAACTCACCTCCCTAATGCCCTGCTGAAATCCCGTATGCAGGGAATTAACCATTCCACCAACAGGCCATGAAAACTCATCACTCATTCAACAGAATTATTAAAAGGTTTGCTCACTTTAGAACCTGAGCTGAGAGAAAACGAGAATTGGAAGCATCCACTTTATAGAAGGAAGATTCACTCTATCATTGTTGATCTTGGCATCCAGGGTTCCTGGCTTTCAGCAGATAGATTTCAGACAAGACTTTCAATTTTTCCTAACCTGGTGGAAAGATTATTTATTTTCTTGGTTTTACAAAAGGAAACCCTTCTAGATGTCTTTTCTGCCTTTCCAAGCAATTAACTATTTTAATCAGTAGCCCAGGGAACTCTGTTCTGCTTGTCACGTTTCTACACTTGGAGCACATTGGCTCAATTGCATAAAGGCCACAAGCAACATGTGACAGATGGTGCCCATCCCTCAGCAGGACAAAACCCACAGTTAAATGTATATTTCCACCCAGATGAGTGCAGGGAAAACTACAGCCAGGCAAAGAAAGGGCTGTACAACCTTGTCCTCAGGCACAGGACAGTGGCTATTTCAGTCCCAGTTCCCGAGGACAGCCTGTCAGACAGATGCATTGGCTCATACCAAGCTCAGTCCCACGCTGCAGGAACAGCTCCAGTTGCCATAGAGCACATAAAAACAATGCACCACAGCATGCTGGGCTTTCCCCATGTCTCCTGCTGCCTGTCTGCAGTGCTGCTTACGCCTGCCTCCCACCACCACTTTTACCACCCTCATTCCTCAACCAACTCCTTCACTCGTGCCATCCACTCAAGCAAACCCTGAGGCACCAGCCCGAGTTCTCTCTTCATGTCTTTTATTGCTGCTGTGCTCCCTTCTCCATCCCTGGTCCTGCAGGCCCCCCACTCCTGCTTTCCCTGCAAGCCTGTTTGCTGATCTCTCCTTCTTACTTCTTCTTGCACGTCTCCTCTGTCCTGCTGTCATGTTCCTCACT